AAAAAAAAAAACTAATGCAAAAAATAGAAAATACGGATTTAAACTTCATGACCTTTGCTTCAAAACAGTGTAAAGTTTTGATCGCATGAATGACTGTAGAGATGACAATTAAAATTTAATTCACGTTAGTTAAATTATCAGCCCCGCTGATTTTCAGAATCACGTGACGCTAAAACAAACACAATGTTCACAAAATATTAATAAAAATTAAAATACAAGTCAAGAGCTTTCCAAACATATATAGATTGTATGGTTTCTTGTAAAATTTATTCGGATTATAAGTGTTTACATTTTTCATGCAAAAAAACTATCCTGCTACCTTAATAACGCAAATAAAGAATGCAGTTGATCCGGCCGTAGATGTCGCCACCTTTTTGCCATACGTATTCATTTTTTTTTTTCACGATATGTATATACATTTTAGTGGTCATCTCTGTGAATGGAAATATCATTTTTTTACGTAACATTAGTTGTTCTGGAAATCCATCCAGTGCAGTAAACACACCCAAGAAAATGTGCAGAGAAGATCACGATGTACACCGGACATGAATCAAACAATGGTATGCAGCGCAATTAATGTAGATTATTTTTATCATATTTATGCAACAAATAATAAATAAGCTACCCTTTGTGACACCTGATTATCACCCTAAGAATATCAGAAGAAAGTTGTAGTAAAAACAATAATCTGGCAGGTGAGAAAGACACATATGGACGTCCCACTAGAATAATCACGGGATGTGGTCATTATCAGCCAGCCAGACTCCACGAGCTTTCTGGGGGGGGGGGGGGGGTTCTGAATGGTATGTTTATTCAGCCATGCCACATCACACGTGAGGTATTGGATGGGTTTTAGTGAGGGTGTGGTGTAGTACGTTTCAGTGTTCCCTAAACCGTCCAATTTTGATCATGTAGTTGGGCATGTATAAAATACAGTTCAGCATGAGACAGTAAACAAATAATGTGAATTGTCAATTTAATGTTTATTTACCGGTAACATCACCAGAAAGATAAAACAATGCAAGATGGCAAACAAAAGAAAAGTTAATTCAGAAAAACTTTAAATACATATTTTCGGAACTCTGTCTGCAAAGTGTCAAATATACCACATCATGATCAACAAATTGTTTTGTTTACTTTTTCATCTTATTTTATGAAATCAACATTTTTCATGGCAGCAGACCGATAATAGGTAAATTAGTTACATAATTCAGGTCACATGACTGTAAATACCCACCTACATTATATTCTTTTTTCTGACTTATCAAAATCAAATCAAATGCGATTCTCTTACAAAACCATTACAAAAATGACTCCCTAGCATTGGTCTTTTATGCACCTTTCAATAGCACCCTCAAATGCCGCCTTTTATAAAAATGACTTCATTTGCATAATACACAAAAATATAGCAACTCAATGAACACAAATCTGATTGGCTGTCAGCTAATCATATGTGTTAATCAATCAAATAACAGTCTGTCATCTAAATGTACAAAGCAGGCTACTGAACAGAGTTTAATGAAAAAGAAATCGGGGGGGGGGGAAGTTAGATGAAAAGAAAATCCACTGTCAAGCAATGAAATTTACGAACAGCTCCCTCTGGTGGTGGAATGATTTTTCCGTTTGAGTAGCTTGTCACCAAACATACATTTCTATAATATTTTAAAAATAAATACTGAATTTAAGTTGTTTGAATGCACACAATTTTAACATTACCCGTTGGTGTGAATAAAAGATAGTTTTAAATGAACTACCTTTGCTAGTAACATATTTTCAATAGATACAATACCACAGACAACTGTAAAAAGGAGCTGTAAAACATGCAGAACATAGAACACCACTTGTTTCTGCTATGGTTTGGATTTCACTTCATGAATGACTTTAAAATGGCCACAAGAACAAAGTGGTCTTGATCTGATTTCAAAATGGCCTCAATCTGAGAAATGACTAACATTAATGCAATTGAGTGCAAATAATCAAGTTTGACTTGTATAAATCTTTAATCCCTGATGCTAAGATGAAATTCACAAGTATCACCATAACCAGCTAATCAATAATACATTTCAGCTTTACTATTAATGACAATATGATTGGGTAGAGAGCACTGACATTTCACTCATATCATGAAACAAGACATGAATACCCATTGGATGGTGGTAGTTAAATTGAAATAATTCCTGAAGTCTGTGATCACTCATTTCTTACTGGTTAATGAAGTAAACATTGATCGCAATAATGTTCACAAATTGGATACTGTATGTTTGATGTATGTAAAGCAGTTTGCTACTGTCACATGGGAGGCACAAAAACTGGTATTTTATCAATTTCTTTAAATATATAATTCCCTGACTCTAAATATTTCATATATAGGATTTAGGCCTGACTAATGTAATCAAATAGGAAGAACTAAATGCAACATCTCATGATGATGCATGATTACTAATGGCAACAATGTTAGTCTCATCTTTCAAAATTGCATGGTTACTAACGACAACACTTAGTCTCATCTCATGATGATGCATGGTTACTAACGGCAATGTGGGTAGTGTCATCTCCAAGTGATTGTTACTGATAGAAACACATTTTTTCCCCAGCATCAGTAGAGGCATTTGTTTGCCATATGATTCTAAAGTAAGTGATATCGATGAGGTATTTCAGTCTTTCAATTTACCAATCACTTACAAATCACAAGCTCCCGTTCGGCTGGCCTTGCCTTGTGAGAGGGCGCTATTGACTGTAAATAAATTCATAACCGGATACAGAGTCTGATACAAAGCAAAAAGAGAATTACTTACTTACTAAAAAAATTGGCAGTTAGTTTTCCCACAAAGTCTTTCCTCACCAATGTTATGACTTATACAAAAAAAATAAACAAATTTCTGGAATTGTCTTTAGACATAGGGCAACAAAAGCACCCTAGCACCCATGAAAATACTTGTACCATTCATGTTTTAATTTTGTTATTATTTGTAAATTTTAACGTCAAATATGATTGTGTAATCTAGAAAGCTGTGATTTTAAAGTATGACAATATATTTAACACCAAGAAACAGAGTTTCTCTGTCAGGTCTGAACAGCATGGAAAATGTAAATATTACCTGAACAGAGATGATAAACGACCACCTGCATAAGAAGATAGTGGAGACACGTATTACAGAGTACTAGTTACAAAGAATTAAGCTGTGATAGAAAGTGATAAAATGCTTTAAATATTAACCACAGCAAAGTTACATTTTTTTTCTAATTGGAAATATTTTTAGGGAAAACTGAAGACACTTTTTTTTTATCCGATCTTGGTACTTTCACCATCCACTTTTGAAACATTATGGATTCCCATCAGCCGTGCACTTTCCACACGTCTTTTCTGATTGGTCTAAAAACATTGATTAAGATATAAGTCTGAAAATAACCAATCAAATGCTATGTTATATAACTGCAACACCTGAACCTGGTTCTTCTCAACACCTTTGTGCTTCTCACGTGACCTTTGACCCGTGTTTAACTATTTAATACAAAGATACTACTAAATCCTATTTGCAGTATTTTTTGTGATTCCTAACCCCAAAACAACACTGTCACAAAGAGTCAGGTCGTCATAGTAGGAACCCCCTAGATGTACAATCTTCACTCTAAGGCATAAACCTAAGCCTGTGTTTTATAGTGACGTCACATCTGGTTACGAATCTCAGTGCATGCTTCCTGGCCAATGAACTACTGTCAATGTGACCCGCCCTTTAGTTCTTTTTAGCAACGCCACCGTTACAGCATGCGTCATATCTTGAAGCGCTTGCCCATTCACCGCTAATATCTGATCACCGCACCTATAATGAAAAACAAACTTAATTAAGGAGCCGTCAAAAACAAGAACAGTATTACTGGTATTGATTTATTGACAAAATTGAAAAATATAATACAACACATTAACAAATTACTGTAAAATACTTTACTTTAGCTGGAATTAATTTTCGCTGAAAAGACTTTTTGTATGTTTTGTATGTAATTTATTATCACTGATTTTTGACGAGTTGAATGTAAAATTTGGAAAAAAGGTATATTTGCTGGATTTTATTTTCACTGTCTCAATCCTTCAGCGAAAGTAGCGAAAATTAATTCCAGGCGAAAACAGTTTTTTTACAGTACTTTATTTTCACTTAGAATTTATTTTCAATATTTTTGTTGAAAGAATGAATCAGTGAAAATAAAATCCAACACAATTTATTTAATATTTACATAAAATTCATCAAAAGTCAGTGAAAATAAACAGCCAAAATGTTTTAATTAATTCCAATTAAATTGAAGTATTTCACAGTACACGTACATTAGTCAGACCATTCTTTCAGGTTTGTGTCCAGACAATCAAGACGAAAAAAAACAATAACATAAAACTAGAAATGAACATGAAACAGGTACGACACTGAATCTTATGTTTCTTTTCTATCGTGAAATAATTATCACTTTCAGAGTATTCTGGTGAAAACATGCTGGCCAGGAACAAATCTATTTCTTGTTGCCATGACTACAATTACATATGTTACATAGCAATGCTGATGGTAGTACCAACCTTAGGCGGCCATCTTGTTCTGCCGGCCCATATGGAACAACTGACTTGACAAAAATAGCCGGGTAACCATGACAATAGTCAGCACCACCAACAATGCTGAAGCCAAGACTACAATTTGATCCTTTCTCAAGAGTAATATCAAGAGGTACGTGACAGTATCTGGAATGTAAAGAAGTAAAAATTTAGTGATAGTTTGCAATCCTCTACTTCGGTAATAGGGTTGTATTGTCAGCCAAATTCTATTTGAACTTTTGCTATGTGAAGCCAGATGCATCAAATAATATATGCAACTGTTACAGTGTTCACTATATATCCCCATTAGGATTTCCATACTAATAAATGAACATCACTAAGCCAACCAAAGTGCCTAGACATTAAGCCAATTAAGCATATATATGCATCGGATTTGTAATCATAGTCCCATTAATTTGTGATATCTCAGTCGTTTTGACGCTCATATTTGGTCATGCGATTTTTACTGTATATAACCGATTTTTGGAATTTAGAGCAACTGATCAGATTGGTTTGAATGAACAGAGGTCCTCACTAGACTATTTTTATATTTTTTTTATTACCTCGTTGAATAATCCTGATTAATTGATATTGAACAAATTTTATGTTAAATTTGGACAACCATACTTTTGTTAGCTTTGCGATGCTTTGTGACATACTAATTAAAACACAAGGTCAAAGTTCAAGTACCTTGGCATTGTCAACCATGTGACCCATGAAGGAGTAAATGAACGGTTCGCATCCATTAATTCATGTCCCTGGGCTGCTATGCATTTCATTGAGATGGTCTGGAAACCAGCGCAGGCTTTAAGTACACCGACAGCCTCGGCATGCGTCAACTTGACAAGACTCGTACTATTGATACTTATCAGCACGTCTCCATGCTATCAAAAATAAAAATGAACTTAGTTAGAAATGTAAAAATACATGTATCACCAAAGGCAGTGGTACACAATAAATTGAAATGTGACTTCTTTGTACAAGCAGATTATGGACACCAAAACACATGCAGCACTTTAGCCAAATATAGCGATTTTCGTAATTGAGATTACCATATTTGCTGTATTAGAATAACATAGCACATAAACCCAAAGTTCATTGTATACTGGTTTATTAAAATGTAACATATTTTGACCGTAGACACATCTGAGTAATTTATTATACAGTCAAAAATACAGCAAATACAGTGAATATATGTTAGGAAATTTAGCCATTATTTCAGCCACATTTTTATTTCTCTAATTCCAGTTTTGTACAAGTAACAAAATACTCAATCACTATCTAACTTTAAAATCCATAATGGTGAGATGGACTCTGTAATGATCTATGGTAAACTGCAGTATTTTGTTAAATTAAAGAATTGGTATGAAATTTGGTGTCTTTGTTATAATGCAATAATGTATTTTTTTTTCCTGTCATACTGCCCATACAGATTTCTACAGATCTCCCTCGTCCAGTCAATGGTCAACCCCCTGAGACCAAGTATGACTTACTTGGAGTTGTCCATCTCTTCCAACAGCACCATTTGGCTGTATATCGCTGACGTACAAAGGTATGTCGCCTACACCGCTATTCAAGCCACCAGACACACTGATACCCAGTGACTCACTTGATTCCTGGCAATATAAATATGCTATTAATACACACAGTGATGAGAGAATAATAACAATGTAACAGTAAATGCAACAAGTAATCAGAATTTAAATAACCTAATTTATTTGGGAACCAAATAGAATTACTTTAGCACACATGGCGGTAATATGTTGGCCATGTTAAAGCGACACTGTGCATAAATAATATTTGGTTCATTGCCTTTTAGGCTCCATATTTGGTCATGTACACTACTACACACTATACACAATTGAAAACCTAATAACAATACATAATTTTGACAACTGTCTTAATTTACTAGCTTGTCTGTGAATACTGTAAAGGGGTTAATTATTCACTGGGTTTTAATTTTGCTTATTTCCCTGACTGGAAAATGTGCTAAATTGAAACCCAGTGAATATGTAAAATTTAGCATAGAACACATTATCTAAATGATAAAACCATGAATTTAAAACCCACTGAATATGCCTGAAATGGTAAATCAGCGAAATTTAAACCCAGTGAAAATTAGTCATTTTACAGTATGTGACTGGCTTTCAATATGTGAACATTTATTGTTGTGTAAGTCATTCTTGTACACATGCACCACTCTGATGATAAAATTAATCTATATCAAAAGTAAAATTTATAGAAACACAATGATAGTGTAAGTTCTCATCTTACATGACAAAATATTATCTTCCAAATTGCAAAAATAAAAAAAACCGCTGGTTTACAGTTTATTATGATGTTAGTCAGCACCTCTTACCTTGTTTATAGTGATAAACTTCTCTCTGGATCTCAACTGTGGCACTCCAGCTTTCTGATTGGACATACCAAACGTGGAGAATTCCTGAGCCATACATTTAATGAGGTCAGGGGTTGTAGGTCGTACCATTCTGCTCACCACAAAATTAACCTTTTCTTTACTTGACTACAAAATACAATAATTGCGCACAATCAGTTTATAGAAATACACTACAATCAATAAAATATAATTACTATTATTACAAAATTAAGGAGACTCATGATGTTCTAGTGACAAACTTAAATAAATCGTAATATTTTAATTACTAACTCGGTTGGTCTGATAGGTGCTATGTGATTTAATATATGAATCATACAAGGCTGTAAACTATTTTTACAACTTGACTAGATCAACTAAAATCACGCCCTTTGACTTGACCCAACTAAGGTTGTGTCCACTGTAGAAAAATGTGAAGGTGAAACACAATTTTTGCATTAAAAAAATCTGAAAGTAGACATATGGCTGAGAAGATAAATCAGAGATGTAATGTTAGAGAATCATAACATTTACATAGAGCAAAATCTGTTTTACCCCTGACCTTTAACCCCTTTGACCTTAAATCCTGTGAACACTAAAGTCATCTTTTGTTACTTTGTACAAAACTAGCAGCCTGTCAGCTGAGATAGCTCCACTGTTAGCAATGCACATTGCAATTAAAGAACAAGTCATTGTCAATGACACGTTCCCGTTCCGTTCATATTTGAGTGACATATACATTCAAAGCAGATCATGACCGAAATGCACCTGCATATGTACAACACATTGTGCTAAATCTGAACAAAATCCATCCATGCATGACTGAGATCCGGTTCTGGAATTGTGAAAATACGTGATTTTGATGCATTTTCGGCCTTAAAATGGCCATCATTCCGCTATTGTTAAGCAGATCATGAAACAAATGCACATATCTATTTGTGACATGATGTACCATGTGTGTGTGAAGTTTGAACTTGATCAATCCA